GGGGAAGGGCCGCCGCCCCAAAGTTAGGCGTGGCGGAGGAGGCGGGGGTGCGGGAGGGGGTGGTGGTGGAGTCGGGTCGTCTGGTGCTGGAGCGGACGAGGGGACCCTGCCCAGTGCAGCTGAGCCGCCGCCCCTGCAGTTGGAGAAGCCGCAGCAGCTGCCGCAGTCGCAGCCTTCGCAGCAGCCGCAGCAGCCGTCCCAGACGTGGCAGACGAGTGTCCTCCCGCCCGGGTGGCCCGGCGCTGGCGGTGGCCGGGCGCGTGGTGGTGTGCCGAGTGGTGGCTCTGGAGGCGTGCGTTGTCAGTACCAGATCCAGACCGGTCCTCGCCGCGGCTTCGTTTGCGGTAAGATCGGTCACTCCACTCCCCGCTGTTTTCGTCGCCTGGACGACCTGTTTCGTCAGCGTTTCGGCCCGTCGCCAGACCTTCCGGACTGGCACAGTTTGCTTAGTCGTAAGATTCAGATTTTTGATATGGACATGGATGCCATTGTTTCTGCTCTGCATGTGATGTATGCTGATCACTCTAGTGTGCTTCCCGCCTATTACTCACTGTCGGCTAGTGTAGGTGTGCCTAGCTTAGCCTCCCCTGCTGCGTCAGGCGTAGGATCCCCTGCTTTGTGTAGTCTTGGTGCTTCCGCCGTCGTTCCGTCGCCAGACGCCTCTGCTTCGCTTTCCTTCACCCTGGACTCTGGCGCTTCTCGGTGTTTCTTCTGCGACTTCACCACCCTGGCGCCGCTTCCTGTTCCTGCTGCCGTTTCTCTTGCTGACCCCTCCGGCGGTCCGGTAGTCGCCCGCAGTTCCACCACCCTTCCCTGTCCGACGGTTCCTTCGGGCACTCTCACAGGTCTGCATATCCCCTCGTTCTCCAGGAACCTAGTTGGTGTCGGCTGCCTCCAGGACCTTGGCGTCACCACTACGTTCCCTGGTCACGAGCGGTATGCTGTCTGTACCGAGGCCGCCACTGGTGCCCCCCTGTCCACGTTCCCCCGGGACCCGGTGTCCGGCCTGTTCACTCTGGACACCGTGACCCCCCCGGCTGGAGCGCTCACCCAGGTTGCTGCTGCCTGCTCCTGTCGGTCCCTCACTCACCCGACTCTCCTTTGGCACCACCGCCTAGGTCACCCTGCGCTCCCGCGTCTGCGTCACATGTCCGAGCACGGTCTTGTCCTTGGTCTCCCAGGTTCTCTCCCCGAGTTTCCCTCCTCCCCAGCCCCACCTTGCACGCCTTGTGTCGAGGGTCGGCTTCGCCGTGCCCCTCACTCCTCCTCGTTTCCCCCTACCGCCGCGCCGCTGCAGACCCTGCACCTGGACGTCTGGGGCCCCGCCCCCGTCCCTGGGCCGCGTCGAGAGCGCTACTTCCTTGTGCTTGTCGACGACTTCACTCGTTACACCACAGTCTTTCCCTTGGAGCGCAAGGCCGACGTGCCTGGCGCTCTCATCCCCTGGCTTGTCTCTGCGCGTGTCCACCGCGGTCTCCCTGTCTTGCGTCTTCACTCCGACCGTGGTGGCGAGTTTGCCTCAAGTGTCCTTGGTCGCTTTTGTCGTGCGGAGGGCATCACCCAGACGTTCACCCTACCGGACTCCCTACAGCAGAATGGGGTCGCTGAGCGACGCATCGGTTTGGTCATGGAGGTGGCTCGCACCTCCATGATCCATGCCGGTGCACCCCATTTTCTGTGGCCGTTCGCTGTGCGCTACGCTTCTCACCAGCTTAACTTGTGGCCGCACCCTCAGCAGCCGCAGGTTTCGCCGACCCGTCTTTGGACTGGGTCTCCTGGTGACGCGTCTGCGTTCCACGTCTGGGGCTGCCTTGCTCACGTCCGTGCCTCTGGCACGGACAAGCTCACTGCCCGCACCCTTCCCTGCGTCTTCCTCGGTTTTCCCCTTGACGCGTCCGACTGGCACTTTTACCACCCGCCATCTCACCGCTTCTTTCACTCTCGCGACGTCACATTTGACGAGTCCGTCTCCTACTACCGTCGCTTCCCCCACCGCGGTCCCCCGGTTACCCCCCCCCTGTTCCTGGTCACTCCTTCCCCGGTAGTCCCTGCCCCTCCTCCTCCTCCTCCCCGTCCTGTCCCCTCTGGTGTGTCCCACGTCGCCCCCCTTTCGTCGGTAGACCCGGTTGAGGAGTCTTCTGACTCTGGTGGCCCGGCTGCGCAGTCCTCGCCGGCCGCCCCTCCCCCGGCGTCCCCTCCCCAGTCCCCTCCTCCACTGCCTCTGCCGCCGCTGCAGCCGTCGTTGTCGCTGCCGCCGCCGCCGCCGCCGCCGCCGCCGCCGCCGTCCCAGCACCCGTTCGCTGACTCTGGGGGTGGTCCCTCTGGGGGTGCTGGTGTGGAGTGTGTCGGTGGTAGCCGAGGAGCAGCTTGCGGTCCAGGTGTCGTCGTTGTGCCGCCGCAGCAGCAGTCCCCGCCGGTGTCAGCCCTTCGCCTGCTCGGCCTTCCGTCCCCTGACCCTGCGGCTGTTCCTCTCCCACCGTCTCCTCCTCTTCCCGTCTACGGCCCTGTGTTCCCTCCGCCGGACTCGTCCCCGGCCCGTCTTCCCCCTCGTTCCCCTCCTGTCTCCCCTCCTCTGTCTCCTGACCCGACTCCTCCGTCGCACGTCTGGTCTCACCGTCCCTCCCGTGCTCGTCCTGCCTCGCCTGTCTTGCGCTCCCACCCTATGTTGCTTCGTTCCCACGCGTCTCGTCCTCCCCTTCTGCCGTCGCCTCCTCCGTCCTCCCTTGTTGTTGCACCCCCCCCGCTGTCTGACTACCTTCGTGCCGCTCGTCCTCTTGTTCCCCGGGTCCTTGCCTCTCTCGTTACCGACCCGTCTGTTCCGGTCTCGTGCCTTGACGCTCTAGTAGCTGCGGTCGCTGACTTCGCCTCTACCCGTCGCCTTGACTACGCCACAGCTCTGGTCTCTGACCCTGCCTGTCCTCCGTCTGTCGGGGGTGCTCTTGCCCTTGGCAGTGACGTTCTGGAGGACCGCCAGTTCGAGCTTGCTTTCCTGTCCGAGGCTGCTCCCCATCTCTGTTCCATGCTGCTAGTCCCTGAGGGTGACCCAGACGCTTTCGACATCCCGACCCCTCGCACTTACGCTGAGGCGACCTCGGGACCTTGGGCCTCGCAGTGGATAGCTGCCATGGAGCAGGAGATGGCATCTTGGAGATCCACCGGCACCTTCGTCGACGCAGTTCCCCCGCCTGGGGTGAACGTAGTCAATGGCCGCTGGCTCTTCAAGGTGAAGCGCCCTCCTGGAGAGCCGCCTGTGTTCAAGGCGCGCTACGTGGCTAGAGGCTTCAGTCAGCGTGAGGGGGTGGACTTCTTCCAGACCTTCGCTCCGACCCCGAAGATGACTACTCTTCGGGTTTTGCTACACCTAGCTGCTCAGCGCGACTACGAGCTTCACTCCCTCGACTTCTCCACTGCCTTCCTTCAGGGCAGCCTACACAAGCAGGTCTACTTGCGTCGCCCTCAGGGCTTTACTGGCACCTTCCCTCCTGGGACCCAGTGGCTCCTGCGGCGCCCTGTCTACGGCCTGCGCCAGGCTCCCCGTGAGTGGCACGACACTCTCCGTGCTACGCTTGCTGACCTGCAGTTCTTTCCGTCTTCCGCAGACCCCTCACTCTTCGTTCGTGCTGGCCAGACTCCGTTCTACATCCTTGTTTACGTTGACGACCTGGTCTTTGCCACAGCTGACAGGGACGCACTGGCCTCCGTGAAGGTAGAGCTGCTGAAGAGACACACGTGCACTGACCTTGGAGAACTGCGCCGTTACCTTGGCTTGCAGATCTCCAGGGACAGAGCAGCGCGCACCATCACCCTGACTCAGTCACACTTGGTGCGCCAGGTCCTTCAGAGGTTCAGCCTTCAGTTCTCCTCTGCACAGCCCACCCCTCTGCCTGTAGACCACAGACTCTCCGCTCCAGTGTCTGAGGAGTCGGTTGAGCCCAGCGGCCCCTACGCAGAGCTGGTGGGTTGCCTCATGTACCTGATGACTTGCACTCGCCCAGATCTCGCATACTCTCTCAGCATCCTGGCTCGCTTTGTGGCCACAGGCAGACACCGACCGCAGCACTGGTCTGCCGCTAAGAGGGTTTTGCGTTATCTTGCTAGTACATCGGGCATGGGGTTAGTGCTAGGAGGACGCAGGCCAGTGGTCCTTACTGGACACACCGACGCTTCGTGGGCAGACGACGCCGAGACACTCAGGTCTACCCAGGGCTACTGCTTCAGCCTTGGCTCAGGTGCCGTCTCGTGGAGAGCTACCCGCTCCTCGTCTGTTGCCCAGTCCAGCTGTGAGGCCGAGATCTACGCTGGTGCCATGGCGGCACAGGAGCTCCGCTGGCTGACCTTCTTGCTCACTGACTTAGGTGAGCGGCCTAGCTCTGCCCCGGTCCTGTTCGCTGACAACAGGGCCATGATCCTCCTGTGTCAGGAGCCTCGACTCGAGGGCAGAGCGAAGCATATTCAGCTGCGATACTTCCTCCTGCGCGAGCTACAGCAGCGACGCCACGCCAGGCTCGCGTAGTACACTTGGCCTCAGGTGCCAACACAGCTGATATCTTTACGAAAGCGCTTGCGCCTAAAGATCATCAGCGGCACTGCGTACAGCTTGGTCTAGTCCCTGTAACCTCTCACTTGCTAGGGCCTTGACTTTGTACTGCCCTTTTATATGTATACTCAGACTGGACTTGTGTCCTCTACCAGTGGCTGGACTAGTAGGCGCTTGTCCATCTATCCCAGCGGGGGGGGGGGGTGTTGAGTGACCCGCTGGGGTTGACCTTGAGATCCTCGGGGAAGGGCCACAGGTGCAGAGCCTGGGGGGCTATGGGCGCACTTACCCGCTATTCAACAAGCCCTTTTAACCCAGTGGTTAGTGACTGGGTTTCTGACAAGGGTCACCTCTTAGAGGGTACAATACTTAGGTATATCTATCTGTACTCTCCCACGACTCATCATTCACTTCTCTCATTTTGATACAGTATACTACTCATATGCAAACATTTCTTTTCATAAGTAAAGACATGGATGCGAATTGAACCAGCATAACCATGGTAAAACAAGATGCCACATCTACTCTATGGTACCATGGCAGAAAAAGGGTGATTCATCTGCTACTAACACTACCATGGCAGAAAAAAAGGTGATTCCTTTGCTAACACTACCATGGCAAGGAAGGTCAGCAATGTGCCAATGACCGAGCAACATTACCATGGCAGAAAAAGGGCGATAAGAGTTATTATCAACACTCCCGCTAGAGTTGATGTCACCACTGCTGTAACCACCGCCTTGGAGCTGGAATACTCGACACCGTCAACCCCTGAATACCCCTCTCTACCGAACAGCAGCATTCCCGCTGAATCTGTGCCACCTATTTCTCTCCGCGAATAGCGTCGCGATCGGCGCGATAACTCGCTCAAGGATACCGAGGAGCTGCTGGAATTCCCACGTTTTGGCGTACAGGTATTCCCAGGGCATTCGACAGGAGTAGGTGTTTCAGCGGCAGGGAAGTACGACGACCGCTTATTCCCAGACGGTTCAGCGTTTGAGTGACCACCACCTTTGCGAATACTAAATGCTCTATTTGCGCTACTAACAAGCAGCATCTGGGTCGAAGTTCCAGCGTCGTGAGCAGTCGTGCTGTCCGTGTTAGTCGCGCGCGACGTGTGGGGGCAGTCTCTGCGACCGTTGCGACTGGGACTGGCAGTCGCCGCCGCTGCTCTGCCCTTCTGCAGCGCGCCGAGCTGCATCGAGCCAACTTCAACATGTAGGGTTGCGCCTGATCCACGAAAAAGGCTGAGCCGTTTAATATCCCCTAGGAGCGAAGGGGCTCGAAGTAACGGGTTGGGTCCAGGGTCTGACGCGGCTTTCGGCAACAGGGCCGCTGCTTCCGACGCTGCGTTACAACCATCATCGCTCATCGCCAATGATCGCCGGTTCACGTCGCTCCAGCTCTTGCGATGCTTCCCGCCGCCGCCGGAATCTGCACTGACGAGCGGAAAACTCCCCCCTGCTACCGCCGACGGCGGCGGCGCCATCGCGGCGGCGACTTCCCCTGCATCGGCTTCCGCCACTTGCCGCCACAGCCGGTCGATCTGCGCCAGCCGCTCCTGCAGCTGTCGCAAGCTCTCCCGCTGCTGCTGCCTTCGCGGCGACGCCGCCGCAGACGCGGACGATTCAACCGCAACCGCCGCCACTTCCCGCAGGGTTCGCCTCTCGTGGATCGTCGAGAGAGTTAGACTCAAAGCCCGCCTGCCGTTGCCGCCGCTAAGCGGAGCAGAATAATCGCAAATTTCGGAGCTGTCGCCCATTTCAGCGAAAATCCGCGTTTAAAAATCGCGACCCATGTCGGAACTGAGAACACTGAGAACCCGTACCGCGGGACACTGAGAATGAGTCCTACAAGGATTTAGGATATAGTAGATCGGAGCTAGGCCGCCATGCGTAGCTGGGCCCTCGCTGATGGATCACTCTCTTAAGATCTGATCGCTGACTGAGACTCACATGCCAGTTATGTAGGAGTGGCATTACATATGAGTCTACTTAACCTCTTGAAGCCCTGCTTGCATGGTTTTCGCATTTCTGCGGAATCCGGAACGAGCGGGCTTTACGAGCACTTACATTTTTACGAGCAGGTTTCGCGGCCCTTGGAGGGGGTCGATCCCCGAAACGTGGCTCGCACGCACGGCAAGGCCAGCGGTGCCGCCAAGGAGAGCGGTCGTCGCTATTGGGGAGGAGGGAGGGGGGCGTGTGGGGGCGGGGGGGTTGGGGGAGGGGGAGAGATGGGGGAGGGGGGAAGGGGGAGGTTGGGGGGAGCTGATCGAATCAAGGTAGGGTGCTAGCGACGCAATTGGATGGATCGCGCGTCGTTTCAGGCGCCACGGGCGGTTGCTGCTGGCTGATCAGCGGCAGGATCGGAATTACAGCAGTGGAATCGGGATTGGCGGCAGAATAGTCAACAGTAGCAGCCCGGCATTCCTAAGGCTGCATCTGACGTCAGGATGCGATACAATTTGACTGCTGGCAGCCACGCGCCACGTGGCCAGAGGCCAACTCGACCTCTGATCGGCGTTGCCGCTTCTTCCAGGTTCCTCCTGAATCCCGAATCCCGATCTGGTGGATCTAGATTTGTTGGAGCGAAACCGGCGGCGACACCGGCCAGAGGCCAACTCCGCTCTGTGTGGAGTCCACGTGTCTACAGTACTTTACGGAGCCAGCACGTGTGGATCCAGCCGATGGTTGGACACGCTCTTAGCACGCCAGGAGGAATGCAATGGCGATTGAGCTGTGAGCATGCACATGCTGGTGAACAGGCAGGGCGGACGAAAAACTGCGAACAGATGCAGCCACGGGAGCAGGAAAACGGCAAACCGAACAGAACGGCAAAGAGGGGGGAGGAAGCGATAAGAGGAACAAACAGCCGACGGTCTGCTGCAGCGCTGCATTGCATGCAGTATCAATGGCGGATGGAATCAAAACAGGCAACGGAGCAAGATGGCGATGGAGAGAGAAGACCACAGCAGCTTGGCAGTTTTATCGGCAATCGACGGTCTCGATTCCTCGAGATCCCCTGCGCCCTGGATCGCTACTGGAGCCATGCTCCCGACAGCTTGTCGCTGAATGTGGCCAAAATTTGGCGCCAAATTCTGACGGCGACGCGCAATCGGTGGTTGATCCAGTGGTCAGAAAGCCGCCACCTAAATTCTAACCAGGCGAATTCGGTACGCCTTACGGGCTGGTCTGCATCATTTTAGTATGGTAGATTTTGAAAGATATGAAGTCGAATTACCTAAAGTTGAAACTACCTGCAATTAACATCAAACTAGACACGATATATGTGGACAGCAGTTCTTTCATGAAAAGGAGCCACATCCTCTCCTCCACCAAACCCCCCTTTGATAATCACCTCGGCAAACGTCCCCCCTCCAGACCCCTTGGCCAGATGACCGGGGTTAATGCACATGGGCTGAAACATCAAACCTGCTCCGCCTGCTTCATGTGCTGCTGCTGCTGCTGCTGCTGCTGCTGCTGCTGCTTCTGACGGTGGTGGTGCAGGTGTCGAAACTGCTGGTGCTGTTGCTGCAGCTGCTTCTGGCTTCGACATTTGCGCTTCGGTTTGCGCTTTTTCTGCAGCTGGAATAGCTGAGTCGGCATTAGATGGCAGTACAGGGGGGGGCACTGTCACAGCTGTAGGAATCGCTGGCTGCTGCTGCTGGTGCTGTTGTTGCTGTTCTTGTTCAGAGGTTTGTTGTGGCAGCGAAGGCTGAGGTAATACCTGCGGATAGGACACAAATGGAAGGCACAACACAATAGCAAGCATACAAAAGGACATCGTTGCGCTTGGCAAACATCTTCATTAACAGGGGCCAACAAAGGCACACACTAGCAGGAAGCAGGTTCAGTAGCAGAAGACTTTCACCTTGGCAAAGCGGTCGAGGTCAGAAGACAGGAAGAGGACGTGAGGGGCGACGGGGAGGTCCAGGGTTTGGGGGCAGCAGGAGAGGTCGAGAGAGGTGGCAGGGAGGGGCGGGAAGAGCGGGTAGAAGCGAGTATGGAGAAGGGGGCTTACCTTGACAAAAAGGACGAGGTCAGATGGCAGGAAGAGGAGGTGGGGAGCAAAAGGGAGGTCCTGGGCTTGGGGGCAGCAGGAGAGGTCGTTATAGAGAGAAAACAGCAGCCCTATTTCGACAGAATGAATGACTCTCACCTTGACAAAAGGGACGAGGTCGGATGGCAGGAAGAGGAGGTTAGGGGCGAAGGGGAGATCCAGGGCTTGGGGGCAGCAGGAGAGGTCGAGAGGGGTGGCAGGGGGGGGCGGGAAGAGCGGGTAGAAGCTCCGCTGGCCAACCACGTGCGCCGCCAGCCTGGCCATGCGGTCTGACGTGGCACTGTCTCCGGGCACCACACGGGCGATCTCCTCCTTGCTGAGGTGGCGGAGAATGTCAGTGGACGTGCAGGCAATGCTGATCTGAAAAAGAACCACACAGGTGAATGGAGAATGGAGAATGGAGAATGGAGGGAGAAGAGCAGGAGAGGGGGAGCTGCGCCTACACCTAGCTAATAATAGACCATACTGCCGACCGAACACGAAGAGGAGCGAGAGAGCTGTTACCCTTCGAGATGACTTTTGAGTCAACTCAAAAGAGAATAGCAGAGGCGGGGGAGCTGCGCCTACACCTAGCTATTAGTCCAATTTTTAGGCGCCTCAAAAAGGGGAGCTGCGCATACAGCTATTTACAATACCATGATGTCGACCCAACAGCAAGAGGAGGGAGCGAGCTGTTACCCTTTGAGTAGAGGGGACAAAGAGGCAGGGGAAGGAGAGGGGGACAGGAGTGCACTAAAACGTGTGCAGCCCAACAACTTCTTGTGCTTAGGAATCAGACTGATCGAAATACAAGAAGCCTGTCACGTTGTAGCCTGACCTGTGTAGAAAGAAAATGAGCAAGTGCTGATCTCCATACATATGGAAATGTAATGTCCCCCCGTGCTTTCCGAGAATAGACCACTCTCACCTCTCTATCCAAAGTAAAGGCGGAAGGATTTCCAAGAGTCAGGATCTGCTTGCGGGGGTCTTCAAAGTCAGACGAGTCGAAGGGAGGCTGTGAGAGGGGTGGGAACACACAGGGAGGTTCATGAGACGCCGCAAGAAAAACGACTGAGGATCTGGTTGCGGGGGCCTTCCAAGTCAGAAGAGTCAAAGGGGGGCTGTCAGGGGGTTGTGCGGAGAAGCAGGAGGGGAGGGGCTTGGAAGCACGATACGAATAGGAGTCATGATTATGAGGGTTCTCAAAAAGGGGCCATGAGAAGAAGAAGAAACCATGCTGATGAATGGGGGAGTGAGGCGGTGGCAAGAGAAGCGAGATTAGGTACCAACAGGCACCTCGAAGGGCACCTGAGAGGGCACCTGAGAGGGTACCTGAGAGGGCGCCTGAGAGGACACCTGAGAGGGTACATGAGAGGGTTCATGACGGCACGCATGGACACCTGAAGGCACCTGAGGTACATGGCACGAGCATAGCGCACCTGACAAGCAACCTGAGACACCACCTGAGTGTATGCACCTGACACTGTACCTGCGGAAAGATCATGGTGTGGTGTGCATCTCTGAGTGATGGCAGCAATAGCACCTTGCACGTCCCCCCTGCTCGCTCACAGTAGTCCTCGATCTGACGAGAGAGGGGCAGAGATGAGCACAGGGAAAGAGAGAGGAAGGAGAGAAAATCAGTCTTCTTAGTGATGGCTGCAGTAGCACCTTGTACGCGCCCCCTGCTCGCTCACAGTAGTGCTCGACCTGAGAGGAGAGGAGGAAACGAAGAGGAGAGAGATGGGGAAGAGGGTCTCTGCATCTGCATGGTGTGATGCCCACCTCTCAATGGTGACAGCAGCAGCACCTCACAGGTGCCTCCTGCTCGTTCACAGTAGTTCTCAATTTGAGGGAGGAGGAGAGGGGAAGGGAGTACTCCATGGTGCGGTGGGCAATTCTAAATTAAGGGCGGATGCTGCATGTTTCACCCGCTCGCTCACAAACCCCTCCCCCTCCCCTCCCCCTATCCCCACACCCCCCCCTCTTCCTACCCCCAACCTCCCCTCCCCCCACCCCCCTTTCACCTGTGTGCGAATGTGCTGTTGGAACGGGGTCTCATAGGTGTTCTCCACACAGCACCCCCTACACCCCCCAAACCACCCCTCCCCTCGCCTCATTTCCCCCCTTTCACCCGTGTGCGAATGTGCTGTTGGAACGGGGTCTCATAAGTGTTCTCCACACAGCACAGCACCCCCTACACCACCCCTCCCAAACTCCCCTCCTCTCCTCCTCTTTCCCACCCCCATCTTCCCCAACTTCACCTGTGTGCGAATATGTTGTTGCAACAGGGCCTCGTAGGTCTGCACCACAAAGCCATCCCGGGCCATCCCTACATCCCCCCCAACCACCCATCCCCTACTCCACTTTCCCACTCACTCACCTGTGTGCGAATATATTGTTGGAACAGGGCCTCGTACGTCTGCTCCACACAGGCACTCCCATTCCCCCCCCCCCATCTCTTCCCCTTACCCCCCCTCTCCCCACCCCCCCCTTCACCTGTGTGCGAATATGTTGTTGGAACAGGGCCTCGTAGGTCTGCTCCACACAGCCGTCCCGCGCATCCGGATGCTCGCGATCGATGAAAGGGCCCATCTGGTAAGGAGAGGGGGGGAAGAGGAGGAAGGAGTGGGGGGGCAACAAGGTGAATTGACCTAGGAGATCAATGAAAGGGCCCATCTGGTAAGGAGAGGGGGGGAAGAGGAGGAAGGAGTGGGGGGGCAACAAGGTGAATTGACCTAGGAGATCAATGAAAGGGCCCATCTGGTAAGGAGAGGGGGGGAAGAGGAGGAAGGAGTGGGGGGGCAGGAGGGGGGAAGACCTAGGAGAATGGACTGACAGTGACTTGTGGTCAACGCAGCCATCCAGCGCATCAGGGTGCGATCGATGAAAGGACCCATCTGGTAAGCAGGGGGAGAGGGGGAGGGGGAGCGAGGAGCGGGGGGAGGGTGGGGGGAAGAAATAGACAGAGAACTTAGGCAGTGATTTGTTGCAACAAATCATGTTATCAAACAGGGCCTCATAGGTTTGAGGACGCTTTCCTGCGTTGAGGATCGACACAGCTGCCCCACACATCAGGATGTTGTTGATCGGATGAGTCAAGTAAACTCATCTGGCAAGCAGGAGAAGGGGAGGAGGGAGGCGAAGGGGAGAGGCGAGGGGGGGGGGGGGGGGGGGGGGGGGGCAACAACAAGGTGAATTGACGGTGAGTTGCTGCAACAGCGCCTCATAGGTCTGGTCAACACTGCCATCCCGTGCATCTTGAGTCGACTCAAAATAGGTCTGGTCAAGACTGCCATCCCGTGCATCAGGGACCCCTCCAATCCAAGGGGGAAGGGAGGGGGGGAGGAGAAGGGGAGAGAGGGGAGAAGACGAGAGGAGAGGGGAGGGGAATATAGGAGGGGGGGGAGAAGAGGGGAGTGGGGAGGAGAAGAGGGGAGGGGGTGAGGGGAAGGGGAGGAGGGGGGGGAGGGGGAGGGGGTGGGGGGAGAGGAAACTGGACGAGGGAAATTGACGGAGGGCTGTTGGAACTTGGAGCAGGGCCTCGTAGGTTTGCTCAACACCACCGTCCTGCGCATCAGGCGGGATGGTCTCGGTCTCGGGAAAATAGAAAACAGAAGGTTTGTGATTTGAATTTGCTTTTGAGTCGACTTAACACCAATGAGGGGTGCATGGTACGGACTGTAGGAATGACAATTTCTGTCAGAGGCAAGAGCGGCATGTGTGCACTAGCATGTGTATGTAGGTGCGCTGGCATGTATACATGGTTAGCATACCAGCAGCAGCACATCAGGTGGTCATTGCAGTGTGAACTTGACAAGAAGCATTTGAGTAGTAGTAGCAAGACATCACGACCGACCAATGTATCAGCAGCAGCGGTACATACCAGCATACCAGCATACCAGCAGTGGCACATCAAATGACATCAACTCACCAGCAGCAGCACATCTGGTGGTTGTTGCAAAGCGAATTTGATGAGATCTTTAAGGGGCTCGAATGACCACGAGTCAATGGTGGTGAAGGGGCCTGCTGCAGCAATCTGAGTGAATGGGTGGGGGGGAGAGGTCGACAAGGAACAGTAGGAGGGCAATGCAGTGAGAGAAAGGGGCGAATGACCACAAGCCAACGGTGGTGAAATGGCCTGCTGCTGCGATCTGTGAAGTCGTCGAGGGACACACGGAGAAATCTAAAGGAGGGAAAGGGAAATAGGGTGGGCAAAGGACCAGGACACATGAACAACATGAACAAGAGCGATGCGGACAACGTCAAAACCGTGGAGAGGTATTCAAAACTGAAATAGTCAGGAGAAAGTTCAGGAGAATGAGAAACCAGTGCAGCTGCACAGGGAGCTAACACAAAGATATGAGGCGTTGTCGTCTAACACACACACACACACACACTAATCTCCTCTCAAGAGGCAACGGCAACAGGAGGATGAGAAACCAGTGCAGCTGAGGATGAGGAAATCAGACAAAGTCATGAGGCGCTGCCTTTTGAGAATTCTCAAAAACCAACTTAGGTCAAATGAGGCGTTGCCTGAGTTCCCTGAGCAGCTGCACTGGTTTCTCATCCTGCTGTCTGTCAGTACAGCTCAGAAAACGATCTGAGGCGTTGTCACGCACTAATCTCCTTTCAAGACGCAACGGCAACAGAAGGATGATGCGCGACGAAAGGAGGGAGGGAGGGGAATTTTTTAGTCGACTCAAAGATCTGAGGCGTTGTCACGCACTTATCTCCTTTCAGGATGCAACAGCAACAGGAGAATTATACGAGAGGCAAGGAGGGAGGGAGGGAGCGAGACAGAGCAGGAAGCAGGGAAGAAACTCACAATCCTGATCTCTTCGTCTTCCTCATCCTCCTCCACTTCGCTCTCGGCCTTAACAGCAGCACCACCACTCTCCACCTTCCCGAACCGTTCTGTCTCCATACCCTCAGGCTCATCCTTGACCCCTCCTCCTCCCACGTCCTCTTGCACACTAGCACTCTTCCCGCCCTTTTCCTCTCTCCCCACTTCACCCTTCCCATCCCTACCACCACCACCAGCATCACCACCACCATCAACAACAGCACCAACCTCGACTTTGATCTCCTTTCGCTCCTCCTCCTTCTCCTCCTGCGTCACCACTCCCTCTCCCTCCACAACGCTGTTCTCTCCCACAACATCCTGACCACCATCTAACGTCCTCATCTCTTCGATCTCATCCAGCGCTATCACCTCCCCAAGCCCAAAAGGAAGCGCATCTACCTTGCCTTCTTTCTTTACCTTAACTTCCCCCTTTTCCTTCCCTGCCTTCCCTCTCTCCCCTCCCTTCTCTCCAGCCCCTTCCTCTCCTCCCTTCACTCCCCCCTCTTCCATTTCCCCTTCCACCTTCCGCCCCCCTTTCCTCTTCCTTCCCACCCCTTCCATTTTCGCCCGCTTCGGTCGCCGCCGGGCCTGCTCCCCCGAGCCTGTCAGGCTCGGCTCGGGCTGGTACGGCAGGGAAGCGACGATCCGCTTGGCAACGAGGCAGTAGCCGCTGGGGTTGCTGCCTTCAACGGCCAGGATCTGCCCTGGGAAGAGCGAGAAAGACGGCAGATGGCGCAGGTCCAGGCGCACTCGCACGCCTTGGCAGGGGTCGATGCTGGTGGGTGGGTGGGGTCGGGAGGGACGGGGGGAAAAGGGGGTGGGGGGGGGAGGGGGAGGAATGCAGTAAGGGGGAAAGCAGCATAGGGAGGGCAGATGACGCAGGTCCAGACGCACTCGCAATCCCTGGCAGGGGTCGATGCTGGTGGGTGGGGTCGTTGAGACAACGCGACCCTTGAGGCGCCTCAAGAGTCCTATTTCCGACCCCACTAGAGCATTGACAAGCCCTACAGGCGCTTACCAGCCTTCCAGGAGCACTGAGGAGTCGTTGAGGCGTGCCGATGCAGCTTCTGCATCGCAGACAACGCGACCCACTGCCATCACACTAGTCTGGGGAACGGTAGGGGGTGTGTGCAGGGGGGAGGGGGGGGGCGGGGGAGGGGAGGAGGGGGAGCCAGGGGGGGAAGATGGAGGTGGCCGGAAGAGGGGGGGGAAACAGGGGCTTTAAGGGGCTCGACAGTCTCATCTGCCTGCAGCTTGGAGTTGGTCTTTGCATGGAGGGGGTACTTCTGGGGGTGCTTCTGGGGGTGCTTCTGGGGGTGCTTCTGGGGGTGCTTATGGATGCAGTCTCATCCGTGGCTCACTAGACGCTGCGTGAGTGAAAATCCTGGCACGCCACCAGGAACGCGTGAACCCGAGAAGCCATGATGGGAGCACCCGATTATGAATGCACCTCACCTGACACGACCTCACCTGACACGACCTCACCTGACACGACCTCACCTGACACGATCTCACCTGACACGACCTCACCTGACACGACCTCACCTGACACAATCTCACCTGGGACGCCATGAGGGTTTGCTTCGCAGGGTCGAACGTCGGATCCGCCTCAGCCAGGGCTGCAATGAACCGTTGATTTCGCCTCTCGAGCTCATTGGCCTGCGATCACAACCGTTGGATTCTCGATAAGACAACTTGGAGTTACAGGTTGTAACCACTGGTTACAACTATCCTGGCAGGACAGAAAGGCATACGGTTTCACGAGCAGGGCAGCTGACGGGACCGAGACTCACTCTGTCTTCCGTACGGTCGCACATGTAACGAGCGTCCCGAGGAACCTCTGCGCTCGCTACAGTCACATCGCACAGCCTGCTGGGTGCTGGTAAGGCTTCATCGTGGCCGTCCGTGGCTTTCCACGGCGGAGCCAATCGGGGATTCCACGACGTGACTGTCGTCAGTCTGTTAACTCGAGATTTGTACTGCATCGCTGAAATCTGCAAGTTCGGATTCAAGGTTAAAAAAAATCGGCCACATACACCTATTTCTCTCTTTCTCCGGATGAGAACGGAATGTTACGAGCCAGGATAAAGTACCGTCACGAGTATCAACCTTGCATATGCAAGCCAAGTGAGACCGAAGACAGAAGCGTATCCAGTCCGGAGCAGACCAAACGCATGGATTATTCGATACCGAAACTTAGGTCAAACCCACCATTCGCGTTAACTACAACTACTCAAATTCGCGTCACTTAACGTGCTAACGTTTTCCGCCGGGAGCAGCTGGCGCCAACGGTTTGTCGCGGCAAAGCGAAGCTTTTTCATCCTAAGCTGCCGTCGCGCGACGACGGTCGTGCGACGGTTTGTTCGTATGTGAAGAAACTGAAGCCGTGGAAGCGACAGTTGTCTGCGAACCCACTAGAACCGTTCTCGCTTGGGAGTCGGGACGCATTCCTACATGCAGGGATGCGATGAGTTCACTCCTAGGGTTGTGAACAACGTATGCAGCAATCCGCGGTGAATGTTCCAAGTTGCCGACAAACGAGAGTGAATAGAAACTGGTATCGTTTGAGGATCAGATAAGAAACTCAAGTGCACTTGAGATTCGGCCTAAACTTGCACCAGGTCAGCTTTGAAATGTGAGCCCTGTTTTCATTTCCGCACTCTAGGCTGAATTGCGGACGAGCTGGAATGCGCCCCTGGTGTTTCCAATTCAGTTTCCAAACCAGCTTCCTCCCCATCCACCCTCTGACGCCTCTATCTCCCTGGGTCTCCCATACCTTGGGATCTCCATTCTCATCGGTTTCCATCCTCCCTTCTCCTTTCAAATTCCCCCTACTTGAGTCTTGTAGTCTCTCCCATTTTCGCTTGGACCACGAAAGATCAAGTGGCAGCGATAGTGCTGTCCGATTCCCCACCGTGGGATTACCGGAACAGCACTATCGCTACCAAGCTGACTGTCGACCTTGTAGAGGTTATTGAACGATGTACCTGGTTAGCAACGGGATGTGTCGAAGCAAGTGCTGGAATCTACGAACGAGGCATTGGATCTGTCGAATGACAATCGAAGGGTTCAGAGCCTGCTGGCGGCTGGTCGCATTTGCTGGCTGCCGTTTGAAGACGCTGGGCCTCGACCTAAAACTCGTTAGTCTTTCTACTAAGAGTTAGCGAGTCATTAGCATAACCAGATGCGTCTCTTCCATCGTATTAGACGGAACATTTATTAACCTCTTCGTTAACTTCACGTCCGTTTTCATTCCGCATCCGCGTGAGCTCCTTAGAGCTTCAGTTTCCAATGGAGCCCACAAACATCAACTCTCTTCCTGATGATGTCCTACTCAAGATTATTCGGCAATCCATTCAACCGGTGTGTACCGAATCCAACGGCGACACTCCATGGGACTCCATACAACCTAAGGCCAGCTACATCCTGGAGCATCGTCAAGCTGAGATCACACTTCACCCGGAAAGCAAGGCAGATGCAGCGTTCGCCCTCCTCGTCGTGTCGGTCTGCCGACGCTGGCGCTCTCTCGCCCAGCGATACTTCACCAGCCTTCTTGTCAGAGAGAATCTCGCTGTCTCGATCGAAACTCTCACTCACGCCGTCACGTGCTTCCCGAACCTCACGGATCTGCATCTGTCCGACGGCAGCGTCAAGTCTCTCGACGACGCGTTCCTCGCTCACCTCGCCTCGTCATGCCCTAAGCTGACAGCGCTTTACATGGGACGGAGGATAGCACGGGTAGAGGAGGATGAACACCTTATCACCGAAGCTGGTCTGGATCGGTTCTTTCAGCAGTGCAGTCACCTGGACCAATTTGCTTTCCGGTGTCTACATCGAGATATCAAGCTACCCCCCTCCTTTTTCCAGTTGTCGCTGATGAACACTCTTGCTCTTGCAGACACTGCAGCACTAGAAGCTCCCGGGATTTCAGTCCTTTCTTCTCTCAGCACTCTCTACATTGCATCACCGAATCTGGACTATCAGCAGCTTACAAGTCTTGGTCACCTTTCAAGCCTGACCAAACTGTCGATCCTGGATAAGAGAAGCCGTCCTTATTCGTGGGATCATTCAGCTGCTCCTTCCGGTGTGCAACTACTTCCTTGCCTGAAGACTCTGGAAATTGCTACCCCCAATCATCCATTTCTCATGTTTCCTTTGAGATCGCCATGTGCCAGCTTGGAGCAGTTGCTGATAAGCAGGTCTCACGAGCTCAGGGAGTTTCCTGGCAGCATTGAAAATCTGCTGCCATGCCTGTGTGAGCTGACCATTCGCTCGTGCAAGTCGTTTGGTCACTTGCCTGGAAGTTTTACTTCTTTGAGTCGTCTGAAGAGCTTGACGATGTCTGACTGCGATCTTCACGACCTGCCCACCAATTTTGGAGATCTGTCTGCTCTCCAAACTCTGGTGCTGGAAGCTTTACCTCTCTTTGACCTCCCAGACTCCATCAGCCAACTCACGTCCCTGGAAGCACTCTTCCTGCGCAATTGCCAAGCCATTCGCCAGGTGCCAGAAGGGTTCTGCCGGCTCACATCTCTCAAGACTCTAAGCCTTGTGAACCTGCCAAGATTAATACTTCCAAATGACATCGGAGAACTTTCGGATCTCCTAACTTTTCGCCTGGTGCATGACCGACGGTTAAGGCACCTCCCATCCTCATTCACCCAGCTGATGTCGTTGACAAGGCTGGAGATCGCTCACTGCATACTTGGAGAGCTTCCCAAAGCCATAGGTGAGCTAAGCAATCTGCAGAAGCTGCAAATCCATGGCTGCCCAATCCGGACCTTCCCAGAGTCCATCACATGTCTCAATCGGCTCGAAGAGATCCTGCTAAGTCCTGGTAACACAAGCACTGCAAGAGGGTTTCCTACTGTTCCCAAAAGGCTAGATGGGCTTGTGAGACTTAGATGCCTGGACCTTGCTGGGTGTGAGCCTCCTGAGTCACTGACAACCTCTCTTGAGAGCTTGAGCTTGGGGAAGCAGAGGCAGGTCAAACCACTGCCGGACCTATCCATGCTACGTAAACTCAAGAACTTGAGCCTAGTGCTGGTTGGCACTGAATATGCACCAGCGGTAACTAGAAGCATGCCGCAGCTGACGCGCTTGGAGCTGGTATTGGGGAGGAGTGTCAGGGAGTTGCTGTTTCCCTTGGCATTCTTCCCTGAGCTGCGAGTCTTGACAATCCAGAACGCTGAACTACTGGACTCGCTTCCAGAGAGTCTTGGCTCAGACCTTCAGCAACTTCAGCAGCTGGACATACACCAAGCTGAAGCATTGAGACGCCTGCCAGACAGTATTGCGCATCTCCAACACTTGACATCCTTGGAGATCCATTCCGCAAACAGTCTGTATTACCTTTCTGACATTGGCTCAGTATCTGGCCTGCGTCAGCTGAACCTGTCCGGCTGTTCAAACCTTCGAGATTTCCCCACTTCTGTCACCCAGCTTACCTGTCTCACTCGGCTGGAGACCTGTGGTGCCCCCATCTGGTACCTCCCTTCCGGCCTTACAAATCTCTCTCGGCTTCGAAGACTCGATTTGCGCTGGTGTGAAAGCCTGGAGTTGGCGCCTGAGGATTTGACTGAGCTCAAGTCGCTGCAGTACATGGGTACTGCAGGCTGCAGCCCACTCTTCCGAAATTCAATCAGGTGCTTGGGGTGGTGATAATAACCTTTTCATTTTCAAAGTCTTTTGTTTGAAAATGAAAGTCTATTAGATATAATTGCACGCACCTAAACACCAGTTTTGTTTCCATAGACACATACCGAAAAACATATCCCCCCAAGACACTTTGATCCTCTAGCAACAGCTTCCCCCTCCACCCCCCCTCTTCCTCGTACTTGAATTCACGCTGATACGAACATCTGCATTGAGGATGATATAAGTTGCTTGATCGAAGAGGTCACCCTACCAGCAGTAGCAAATTTGGTGAGAACTAGATGAGATCTTAAGCCAAGGACTCAAGTTTCAAGAAACCCAACCAAGTGTTTTACAATTGATCGCGAGTTACCAGGTTTCCCCTGCCAGGTTGCAATTGACACACAAATCCAATTGGTCAGAGCCCAACCAAGGGTCGCAAACAAGCAGGCTGCGACAGAACACCCAACCCAGTGTAAAACAGCAGGCATGAACCGAGAGAAACTTGGGTCCCCATTAAAAACTCAACAGCACCCCACTCGCAGCCAACATTTGCTCATAAGTAGGGTAGTTGAAACACTCACGCCACCCGTCGCGAGCATCGCGTCACCAACACTAACAACGACACGCAGCCGCGTCCGCCAGTGCACTAGCATAGTGAGTGCAAGCAAGCCCACGGACCACCACCAGGAACACAAAGGTGGGGGAAAACCAGATTGGGACGAAAGCCACGACGTGCAGACGCGGACAAACCGAGTACTGCAAATGCGCCCGCTTGCAACTGCAGACCGGAGCGCACCGGCCAGCCAGACGGTTGGTCCATTGCATAGGCGAGTAGGGCGGCAGAGGTGAAGGGGTATGCGCCCGCGCATCCGAAAACAGAGTATAGACGGAAAGGGGAGTGCGCGAGGGATACTGAGAGCATGAACGTGAGAGGAAGCCGAGAAGGAGAGGTATGGCAAATATGGATGGACTAGAGCAGAAAACGATCGTCTCCTAGCGCGTAGCCAAGGCGGACCTGTCCAAGGAGGTCGACTACAGGACAGCACAGACTAGGAGGGAATGCGGAGGGGAGGACAAGAATAGATGTGGGCGGGGGGGGGAATTAGACGGCTAGGGAAACCACATCCCCGACCGAACGTCGCTGCCAACCCCTGCCATGCATGGTTCTACCCACGGTGTTACACGGCCGCCCCGAAATGCTCAGGGCTATAGGCATGATGACCACCCTGGGCACACTCGGTGCTGGTACGGGGAAGACGCCGACGCAGCGAGCGTGCATGTGCAGACAACATGACTGCGCACTGCGCGTGCCTGCACATCCACGTGCCCATTGGGGCCCCCATGCCTGCTCACCGCAACAGCTTGTCCTCTTCACAACCTCCTCAAAGCCACATGCCGCGGCAAATCCCCATCCTTGTACAAGAACTTGATCCTCGTCCTCCCCCCCCCCTCCCCACGCAGGAGTGCCATCAGAAGAGGAGGAGCAGGGGATAGCGGAGGGGGGCACAAGCACGCACACTCAACAGGCCCACGCTACTTTGCGGACACGGACACAATGCACATGTGAGATTGCTCTCATTGCTATGCTCCCCACAAACACGGTCTACACGGTCTCTCATGCTGTCTCCCCCTCGCCTAAAGGCATCACCCCCTCTCCTATGATGTCTTCACCGGTCCAATGCTGGCCTCCCTCTCTCCAAGGCTGTCACCCCCTCTCCTATGCCCTCCCCCACACCCGCCGCTGGCTCTTCCCCTCTCCAAAGCTGTCTACTCCCATCCTAAACGGGTCACCACTAGGCTTCGATGATGTGGAGCTCTCCTCGCCATTCGATCATATCGGTTTTGAGGAAGGTATGCCATTTACTGACGACCGTGTGCATTGGGTGGCAAAGTCAGTCTTGCCTTGCACCACATGCTGCCCAAAAATGCCTCGCTTGCCCTATTGTAGGGCACAATGAAGATCACGAAGATGGTATTGCAAACCAGGCAGCAACCGAGAACGGAGAAAACCGGCCAGCACAGCATGCCCGACCAGTCCAACCAGCCCAGCCAGCCCGGCCAGCCCAACCAGCCCAGCCAGCCCAACCAGCCCGACCAGCACAGCCAACCCAACTAGCCCAGCCAGAGCAACCAGCCCCACCAGCCCGACCAGCCCAGCCAGCCCAACCAGCCCAACCAGCCCAGACAGCCCAAGACGGTGAAACAAGTGGTGAGGCAAGACCACAGCATTGGGTGGAGAGGGCGTCGTGTAAGCAACCCCGCTCTGCAGCAAAGTCAACCGACCAGGCTGAACCCCAAGACTCGCAGGATTACGAGGTGTCACTAGCCAACCGCTATTGCGCCCACTTCTATCGTGTCATGTCTCGGTGTGCAGCACTCGCTAAGGCAGGGTCGCCCATGACAGCGCAAGTGGTAGCAGATGAGATGGCCACGGCTGCGGACCAGTGGGCTGGGATTCATACTGGGTGCAGCCGCGGTGCCAACAACCCTCGGTGTGTGGCTGAATCTTTGGGTCCTGAAAGTGCCATGTACAAGCTGTTGAAAGGGCGTTAGGTGCTAAGTAGTCATAGGAAATGTCGAGAGGTTTTAGCTAGAGAGAGAAAGTTACGAGAGAAAAGAGGGTCGACTAGAAAGAGGAAGACATACAAGGCGGGGTTGTCCCGTCTACAGTAGGATCCAGCAATGTAGCACATCTACCAAGCCTAAACATATATATATATATATATAAAATTTGACACACCCCCTAGGCTTGGTAGTCGAAAGCCCACCCAACACGCAACACCCCCAAATCCTTGCACCCTCATGCCATTCAGCAGTTGTGGCATCTACCTCTCGTGCAAAGCGGTGACACCCCCAGCGGGTGGCAGCAAAGGCGTCAGCGGTGGCTTCAACGACGACGACAGCAGCGGTGGCAGAGCGGGTGGCGGCGGAGCCAGCTGCACCTGCATCGGCGGCAGCAGCTTCGACGATGGTGGCGGCCACTGCTAAGCTCGCAGCACCCGTCGGTGCTATGACCCAGCGATGACCGAGAAGGGAATCACAGCTACGGCTGGATGAGGGGTGGCGCGGGGAAGGGGGCGTGGCTTCAGCGAGGTGCCCTGGCTGGTGCGCTGGCTGTCGTGTGGGCATTCTGGCTCCCAAAACTAGCACCCCAAAAGCCCACTGCTCCCTGCTGTTGCTGCTGCTGCTGCTGCTGCGGCCGGTGAGTCTGCTGCGGCGATGGCTGCTGCTGCGAAGGCAAGGGAGTAGGAGGCTGAGGTGCCAGGCGGCTGCCGAAGTTGGGGGAGGTGCCACAAGGACAGCAGGCGCACCCCCAAAAGCTGGGCCCCCAGAGTCAGCCGACTCCCCCACAGGCGCAACCGAGGGGTACTGAGTGGCGTGGGAGACACCAGACTGGGCTGGGCAGGGCAGGAGGGGTGCGGTAGGCGGGGTAGGGACAAGGAAGAGTGGAGGAGGAGGCACATGAATTCTGCGGTGTGGGAACGCGGGTAGTAGGGGAGCGTCTCGTCGAAGGTAACGTTACGAGAGTGGAAAAGCGGTGGTGTGACGGGTGGTAGAACAGACAGTCATAGGCGTCAAACGGAAACCCCTAGAAGACACAAGAAAGGGTGCGGGCTGAGAGCTTGTCCGCGCTCTTGTCCTGGAGGTGAGCAAGACTGCCCCAGACGTGGAACACACACGCGTCACCAGGAGACCGAGTGCAGAGGTGGGTCGGCGAAACCTGTGTCCGTAGGGAGTGCGGCCACAGGTTAAGCTGGTGAGCAGCGTAGCGCACAGTGAACGTCCACAGAAAATGGGGTGCACTGGCGTGGACCATGGAGGTGCGAGCCACCTCCATGATCACGCTGATTCGTTGCTCAGCGACCCCATTCTGCTGTGGGGAGTCCGGCAGTGTGTACGTATGGCGGATTTCCTCCGCACGACAGAACCGTCCTAGAGTGCCAGAGGTGAACTCGCCACCTCGGTCGGAGTGTAAGCGACCTATAGGCAAACGGTGGTAGGTGCGAACAACAAGAAGCCACGGGAGGAGAACGGTAGGCACGTCAGCCTTCCGTTTGAATGGGAACACTGTGGTGAAGCACGAGAAGTCGTCAACGACGATTAGAAAGTAGCGCTCTCGACTAAGACCATGGACCGGGGCAGGGCCTCGGACGTCCATGTGCAGCGTCCATAGCGGCGTTGTGGTAGGAGGAAACGAGGAGTGAGGGGCACCGTGTTGCTGGCCCTCGACGCAAGATGTGCACAGTGGCACTACAGATGTAGGCAGGGCGGGAAGCGACGCAGGGAGACCAGTGACTAGACTGTGCTGGGACATGTGCCTAAGACGTAGGAGTGCAGGGTGACCTAAGCGGTGGTAACACAGAAGGGTCGGGTGGGCTATGGGGCGACAAGAGCAAGACGCGGCGACGGCTGCAGACGCAGCTGTCGGCGAGGACCCAGTAAGCAGTGTAAAGAGACCCGACCCTCGGTCACGCTCAAACGTGGCTAAGTGCTAGCCGGTGGCTGTGTCTATGTAAGTGGCGTGTCTCTCGTGGCCAGGGAACGTAGTGGTGATGCCTCGGTCCTGAAGGTGACCGACACCCACTAGGTTCTTGACAAACGAGGGGATGTGCAGACCGGTGAGGGAGCCAGAGGGGACAGCTGGATAAAGAAGAGTGGTGGTGCTACATGCGACAGCTGTGGCGGAGGAGTCTGCTAATGCGACGCGGACAGGCGCAGGAAGCGGGGTAAGAGCAGCACTGTCTCTAAAGAAGAAACGAGACACGACCGAGTCAAGGAAAAAGGAGAGGGCTGCCTCAGGAGGGGCAGTGGAGGAGCCTAGTGGACATGTAGTAGAGGCTCCTAGACTAGACACAGTAGTGGGAACTGGACCCCAAAGCCCCAAGGCCCCTGGTCCTCCAGAGAAACCACTTTGGCCCCAGGGCAGTGACCGCCCCAGGGCCGCACCTCCAGAACCTCCACCTTGCCCAGCACCCCTAAGGCCCCACTGTGGCTGCTGCTGCCACAGCTACTACTGCAGTTGTGGCATTGGCCAGAGAGCCCAG